GAATTCGCCGGGATTGTACGAACTCAGGCTGTTCAGTAACCGGCTTACCGGCGAGTTACCGAGAAATCTTGGAAAGAACTCGCCGTTAAGATGGATCGACGTTTCAGACAACCAGTTTTCAGGCGAAATCCCGGAGTATTTGTGCGAGAAGGGAGAGTTGGAGGAGCTACTGATGATTAACAACCAGTTTTCCGGGCTACTTCCGTCGGGTCTAGGTGAGTGCGAGAGTCTGACTCGGGTGAGGTTGGGTTACAATCGGTTATCCGGCGAGGTACCGGCCGGATTTTGGGGGCTACCACATGTGTATCTGCTGGAGCTGGTGAGTAACTCGTTCTCTGGAAAGATTTCTGATACAATTGCCACTGCGAGGAACCTTTCGATTTTCATTATCTCTAAGAACAACTTCACCGGAACTATTCCGGCAGACCTGGGGCAGTTGAATAATCTTGTGAAGTTTTTAGCGACTGATAACAAACTCGACGGATCGTTACCAGGGAGTCTTGTGAATCTCAGACACCTTTCGAGTTTGAATCTTCGAAATAATGAACTCTCTGGTGAACTTCCCAGTGGAATCAAGTCCTGGAAGAATCTCAACGAACTCAACTTAGCCGACAACGAATTTACCGGTGAAATCCCTGAAGAAATTGGGAACTTGCCCGTTCTTAATTACCTTGATCTGTCCGGAAATCTGTTTTCTGGGGACATCCCGCTTGGGTTTCAGAATTTGAAACTCAATGTGCTCAATTTATCAAACAATCACTTATCAGGTGATCTCCCTCCGTTTTTAGCCAAAGAAAACTACAGAAATAGCTTTTTGGGAAATCCAGGTATATGTGGAAATTTTGAAAGTTTGTGCAACAGTAAAGGTGAAGCAAAAAGTGAAGGCTATCTCTGGTTGCTGCGATCGATCTTCTTCCTAGCTGGTATCGTGTTTATCGTCGGCGTTGTATGGTTTTACCTCAAATACAGAAAGTTTAGGATGGCGAAGAAAGAAATGGAGAAGGGAAAGTGGACACGGATGTCCTTCCACAAGTTGGATTTCAGTGAATATGAGATCTTGGATTGCCTTGATGAAGACAACATCATAGGCAGTGGATCTTCTGGTAAAGTTTACAAGGTTGTTCTCAACAATGGGGAAGCTGTGGCCGTGAAGAAGCTGTTTGGAGGGATGAGGAAAGAAGGCGAAAAAGGCGATGTTGAGAAGGGTCAAGTTCAAGACGACGGCTTCGAAGCAGAAATCGATACTCTGGGTAAGATTAGGCACAAGAACATTGTGAAGTTATGGTGTTGCTGTATTACCAGAGACTACAAGCTTTTGGTATATGAATATATGTCTAATGGAAGCTTGGGAGATCTGCTTCACAGTAGTAAGAAAGGACTGTTAGATTGGCCTACAAGGTTTAAGATAGCTTTGGATGCTGCAGAAGGGCTTTCTTACCTTCACCACGACTGTGTCCCTCCGATTGTACACCGAGATGTCAAGTCTAACAATATCTTGTTGGATGGAGATTTTGGGGCGCGGTTGGCTGATTTCGGTGTAGCTAAGGTCATCGATTCATCTGGGAAGGGGCCTAAATCCATGTCTGTCATTGCAGGATCTTGTGGTTACATCGCCCCTGGTTAGTTAACAAAATTAGTTATTCAGTCATCAATTTTCTTGATATTGAACTTGTTCTGACTACCAAGCTAATTCATTACTATGAGATCGGATCATTTTGTTTCCAGAAACCCAGTTCCTAAGATTAGTTGAAATGCTTTAGTTGTTCATTCCCATTCTTTAAGCATCATTTTCTAACAAGTCCTCTTTTTGAACTTCTTGCAGAGTATGCTTATACACTCCGAGTAAACGAGAAGAGCGACATATACAGTTTCGGCGTGGTCATCCTCGAGCTAGTCACCGGGAGGCTCCCAATCGATCCTGAGTTTGGGGAGAAAGACTTGGTGAAATGGGTATGCTTCACATTAGATCAAGACGGGATTGACAAGGTTATAGACTCGAAATTGGAGAGTTGTTTCAAGGAAGAAATATGCAGAGTCCTCCAAATTGGGCTGGTGTGCACCAGCCCTCTCCCCATCAACCGCCCATCAATGAGAAAAGTAGTAAAAATGCTGCAAGAAGTTGGTGCAGAGAACCAGTTAAAAACCTTCACTAAAGATGGGAAGTTAACTCCTTACTATTACGAAGATGCTTCAGATCAGGGAAGTGTAGCATAGAAGAACAGTAAATCACAGTTTGATCGCATTGAAAAATCTTCCAGTCCATACAAAATTTCTCAAGTTTTTCAACTCCCCATATTCCCGCTGGTTWGGTTTTTCTTTAAATGGAAAAGAAATTCAGGTGAAACAAAAAGGGAAGAAGATTTCCATGGCGGAGGACTCTGAGAAGATGCCAGAAATAGCAATAGTTGAGAGCGATGTGTATGTAAATTTGTTTGCTTTGCTGATGCCGATTGGTGTTCCTTCTCTTTATCTAACATCACTGTAGTGAAATTTTACATACCGAAGAAAATGGTGGTTTTCTTTTTGTTCAGAAACTCTACAGTCTAGAGCAGGAAATTCTAGTTTTGATTTAAGAATTGTGAGAAGATCCAAAAGAGAATCTTCATCAATTAATTCCATGTGATGCCTGCTCTCGTGGGCTCTGGACCATGTCTGTTTTGATCAATGACATCAAAAATATCAATATCGACAAAAGTAGATAAGTTAATTTAATCGCAGTTATTCAGCCAACAAATATTTAAAATAATAGAAAAATTTACATGGGTTCATGCTCTGGTTCTGGTGTGGCCCTGGTTTCGGGGTACGGTGGTCTGGAAATTTCGTTGAGCTGTTAAAAAAATGGCGACGGAACAGAGTTGGTGCCGGTGGGGCAGAAGCATTAAAGTGAAGAAAACCTGCAATTTGCAGAGTTGGTTGCAGCTGCGAGTGGCAGTAGGTTGGGTTATTTATTTCTATTTGTTTTCAATTACCATTCGAAAATCCACATCTTGGAGTAATGATAATAAAGGCATTGTCTTGTTTTATTGTTATTGTTATTGTTTTTGTTTTTGTTTTTGTTTTGGGCATTGAATTCTATCCCTGACCCGACGCCTGCTTCAAGTTTCTTTCAATCGGAGCTTTTTGGTAATTATTTTGAAAGCCGAAAAAAAAAAGAAACAAATGGTTTTGGAAATAATAGTTAAAGAATTAAGATTAGAGGTAGACAATTGGTTTGGGGAATCCAAATGTAGAATCTCCCTCTGGTCTGCTGCTGCTGCGTCTGCACTACGCCGCTGCCCGTACGCCCATCGCTCATCGGCCATCGCATCTTCAATTAATGCCTTTTTTCTCTTTTTTTCTCTTTCTTTTAGTATCAGATTTTTGTTTTCTTAATATACGTGACAAAAATTGATTAAATTAATTTTACTTTTTCTAAAGTTTGAAGTATTTATCTCGAATATATGTTTTAGGCCCTATATTTTTATGTTTTCTTTTTCGATTTAATTGTCCACTGATACAGTGATTCGTAGTTTAAAAAGTTTTGATATAGCCCATTATATTTTAATATTTTGATTTAGCCTTTCATTGTTAAAATCAATTTGATAGATTTTCGTGACATAATACTTAGTACTAGAATTCATATAAATGAATTAAACTTACCAAACTCATCAGCTTAAGTTTTTGGGTTGAGGGGTGGGTYGTTCATTCTTAAGATGGTATTAGAGTGGAAGGTCCTATCTTTAAATTTTCATCATCCTATGGTAAAGAGACAAAATTGAAACTTTTCAAACAATGAGAATTAAATTGAAAAAAATCAAAATATTAGATATTAAAACATATATTTAGTCCATATGTATTTTAGTCTTTAAATTAGAGAAAAGTGACTATTTTAGTTGTTATTATGCAATTTCCAGGAATCAAATATCTACCCAATAAATTTTGTGACTTGAATGGTTAATTGAGGTTTAAAATATTTATTTTCATATTTTAATTAGAGAAAAGTGACTATTTTAGTTGGTATTATGCAATTTCCGGATCAAATATATACCTCGAAAAATTTTATGGCTTGAATGGTTAATTGATATTTAAAAATCATGTTGTCTCTTTGTTAAACACTCAAGAATAAAATAATAAAAATAAAGAAAATGTCAGTTGGAGTGTATCTACTGCTTAAGACATTAGTAATTGATAACTGAAAGTTCAAATTCTCGTTGCAATAAAAAAAATTATTAGCACCAAAATAGTTAGGTTTAAACTAAAATAGATATTTCAAAAAAATTTAAATTTAAACAAATTCTTAAAATTCAATAAATAGATTATATTGATGGGATTTTCTATCATTTAAGTATAGTAATACATGTCTTATCTAAACTCAACCATTAAATTTTATATCATTTGACTCACATATTATTCACTGCGGTTATTCTTCCTTTTTTACGTGTGCAATGAACCCCTTCATTACATTCTGTTTGATTAGTTAATGAAGAGAGTTAGAAAAGTCATGAACTCAAAGCTTGATGCACAGTAATGTTAAAAAAATAAAAGAAATAATTTTAGATGTCTTGATTTGTAATTCGAAAAATGAATTAAAATTATCTATCTGGTTTGGAAAAAAATAATTTAAAAGGAATATAATTAATTTTTTTGTTTCAAGATTGTTTGAAAAATAAAAGAATATACTTGTTTAAGCTTTTAATCTAAATTTGCTGATTATTAATTAGAATATGACAAGTTTAATAAATAATTTACTTGATTTGTACTCTGTTCTCGGAATTCGTAACAAGAACAAAATGATATTCAAAGTTCAAAAGATATTAGTAAATACAAAAATCATATTATAATAAATTTTCGAGATAAGAAAACCCATACTGAATTAATTTTGCATTAATAAATAAAATTAAAAGCACCTCAATAAATGCTGCTGACAATTGACATGGATTGTACCCTCACACGGTCACACCACGCCGCTCTACCTTTAATCGAAAGGGGAATTTACCAATTTACCACAACGGGTTCCTGTAAAAAAAAAAAAAGTTACCATAATTAACATTTCAAACCTCCCATTGATTGGCCGCAGCCAGCTCTGTTTTCTATGCTCCTCGTTAAAAAAGAAAAAAAAAACAAATAAAAAACTCTCTGGTCTTGGAATGTGGGATTTATGCTTTTACGCTAATATATTAAATTATATTTACGAATTTGAAAACAATTCAATAAGTACATATACTTGACCAAACAAATTGGAAGTTGAAAAATCCTACGTCGTTCAACTTAAAAAAAAAAAAGTGTTTATATAAATTGCATAATAACTCGTTTAATAGAAGAGAAAAGAGGACTCTTCTCTTTGAAATAAAATATTCATTTAAATTCAAATCATTTTGGTTCGAGTTTTGCTCATATCTCAAATGAATTGACCGTAAATACTCATTAAGAATGGCTCGTAGATTATAAATAGCTATAATGACTTAACTTAATAAGATAGCAGTTACAACCCAACTAAGAATAGTCGGGCTAAGGAATAAGGAAAGAACAACTACAATAGGAGGGTGTAATATAACAAAAATTTGTGTATTGTATTCGAGAAGGATGAATCACTCTCCATAAGGAATCTATCAATTCTCTTTGGACTAACTAGCATGAAACATGTACTTGAGTGTATGTGCGACTTATTCAGACCATGGATCGGGACAAAAAAATGAACTTTTAAAGCGTTTATTTTGGTATTACAAATAACTATTTTTTATCTTACATTATCTTGTTTTCAGTAAATTAGTATATAATTTCAAGTATGTATACTCTTGAAAATGCAGTTAATTTTGATTTTCAAATGCAGAAAATTTAAAATTATTCTTAAAAAGGAAAAATGAAAAAATAAATACCCTTCTGGTTCAAATGTCAGTTCAACTTGGCTAACAATTAATGGTTCACTTGTGTTGCCTACTGAAAAGGGAATCATGTTTTTAATGTTAAATTTGAATTCAATATATATTGTACTATTTTCTGTACAAAATCAATTCTTCCCATTCATATCTGAGATTTAAATGGAATTACTTTTTTTTTTTTTTTTGTGTAGATTTCAA